AATTGTATACTGTAAAATAATACATGTATGCATTTTTCAATTCCAAAAATAAATGCCTGTCGAAATATAGCACCTCCTTCTGGAGGTTAGTACTCCTTTAATGGTCTCAAGAAAAAGTTGTACAAAAAACTGTGAATTGTGAAACATTTGTGGAGGTTTAAGGTTTGCTATTTTTGCCTGGATAGTTGACAGCTATTATCTCATCACAAAGTAGTGAGTCTACAGTTTGACAAGTTCCACCATGGTGGTAATTCACCCGGACAGAGGCCTGGTGCACCCCATCCTGTATCAGTAACTCTGCAACCCTACCCAACACTGTTGACTTCATATTTATGATAAGGATTGTTGTTTGTTGAGTGATTTGAATGAAGAAAGTTCTGAAAGCATCCCGAAAGGACGGAATGTTAACTTGAAGCTATTTTGCCTGTACAACAAACTGATTTGACTCTGGGTGTTACATGGAATAATTCACCATGCAAAGTGGTACAAAGAACTGTGACTGACTTGTGAAATGTTTGTGGTGGTTTTATGTTTGTGGCTTGGATGGAGACAGCAAACTCATCACAAAGTAGTGTGTCCAGTAGACAGTTTGACAAGTTCTATGATCACCCAGATGGAGGCCTATTACACCCCATCTTGTATCAGCCAACAAAAAGATATGCCACAAGGGGTGGTTAAACCCTGACCAACATGGTCAACTGATCATGATGATAATGTTTATATGATAATGATTGGTGGTGTTGTCATTTGAATGAAGAGAGTACTGAAACCGTCCCTAAATGACGCAATGTCATTTTTTTCCAGTGTCACATATGCATGCTGATTCAAATTTTGTTTGACTCTGGTTGATACATGGAATAATTCAGGGCAATGGCACTGAGACTGTCCCAAGAAAATTAGTGGTACATCGTGGAATTTCTATTTGTGCTAGTTTTATGTTTTGGCAGGGAGTGTCCATAGCAAACTCATCACAAAGTAGTGGGCTGATCGTACCACTACTACTAGTTCCTTCACCCGGATGGAGGCCTGGCGCACCCAGTCTTGTATCAGCCAATGAAAGTGCGCATGCCACTCAGTAAGGGGTAACTTTGACCAACATGGTTGACTAATGATGATGTATACAATGTACATGTATATGATACCTAGAGTTCCACAATCTCATACCTTCGCGAAAAAAAAAGATAAGTAAGCATCACTTTAGCTACCTACATACCAAAAATCATGACGATCTGTCAACCGTTCATGAGTTATCGTCTCTTGAACATTATCAAACAAACGCCACTGCAGTTCCAGAGCAAGCCGCCAGGGGCCCCAAACTCGTGTCACTTTTTCCTCAGCACAAGAGCTACCACTTAAATTTTGTGACCCTAGCATGTCTAGGTCATGAGATATCAAAATTGGAAGTTGAGCTGCAGTACCATAAGAAGCCACTAGGGGTCCCAAAATCTAATCATTTTGAGGTTTTATCAAGACCTACCCACCTACCAAATATCAATGTAAGCCTTCGTAAGTTATTGTGTTTACAGACACACACACGTACGCCTCCGAAAACATAACCTTCTTGGCGAAGGTAATGATTGGTGTTATGATAAAGATTGTTGTTGTTGACAATGGAATGAAGAAAGTTCTGAAACTGTCCCTCAATAATGGAATGTTCATTTGAACCAATTTTCTCAGTGTCACAAGCTCTCTGTTTGTTACTGTTCATGGAATAATTCAAGGCAAGCTCTCTGTTTGTTACTGTTCACGGAATAATTCAAGGCAAAGTTCCTGGCAACTATGATGGATGGGCACCCATCGCTGTTTGAGACTTCTGTTACCAAGTTGGGCCACACAGCTGAACAAAAGAATGTACTTTACTGTTTACGTAAACAAATCACCATCTATGTAATCTTTCATGATTAAAATCATGAGTATCACATTGAGTCACTGCTGGCCTGGATTATGGCTTCTATGGACACATTATGGCACTAGAATTTAGTAGTAGAAAATTAAATGTGGCTTTGTACAAATAGTATATTGGTAATAAAATGCTGTGAGTCGGTGTGGATTGAAGGCTCCATGCATGCATCTACAGAGGGTACAAACTGGGTGACGGTGACGTTTTGACATGAAGGTACTAGAAGTCACCACAGGGCCTCCCTGCATCTTCACTGAGGGACACCAATTAAAACTACAAATCAGGAAAAACAAATCAAGCAAATATTTCCAGGTTGACTCCGTACCTGGGTACGTGGGGTCGGCCATAGTTTGCGGAGTGACTCTTTGTACCGAAGAAAATTTTACTTGAATCGTACAATCTTGAATGATATCGAGTTCTATATACTGAGGAAACAGGCATCAACTTTGGGAAATCAGGAGATCCAGAGGAAACTGGATGGTGTGCATTGGGACCTACCTGGGCGTGCGGGCGAGTGGTAGCCCAACGGGGGCATTGGGGCGGCGGACCTAGGGGACATTGCACCACTTGCGTCTGGGGCACAGCCGATAGTGGGGAGGGCATGAGTCGGGGACGGGACTGCAAAAACACAGTCTGGTCCACGTTGGATCTACGTAAAAAACACTGATGATTTATGAAATCGCATCTGTTTTTAAACGTTGCTATATTTTAAAAGCATACTTCATTTAGCACTTCGTATTAGTTTGTACCGGTAATCATGATAACACAATAAAGCTGTAATGGTGTGAATTCCTGATATGAAACATAATCTTTAAAATATTTCATTTACAGTTTTCTGCGGACTGAGACCATCTTTCGTTTTTTTCTCCGTTTCCTTAGTATTGTCTTGTCTACATTCAAATTATTGTCTAATACTGGTAATAGCTAACACTGAAGAAGGATAGGCTCCACATCATATAACTTATAAGTTATAGGCCTTCCTAGGTACTGTACTTTACCTATACAGCAGGTACTGGTCTTTCCCCTTACCCTTTAAATCACTACAAAAATGCCACGTTGCATGCAGTAACTCCCACTCCCAGGTAGAACAGTTCACAAGGTATCCAACTGCTGCTTTTTTACTAGATAAAGTTAGTAGTGAAATGCAGAACTGGAGTTCCAACGTGGCTGAAACAACTCTCAGTCTACACTCTACAGTGTCTTATTCTTGTCTACACTTTAGTACAATAAATCACCACAAAACGCCCACGTGCCCGTTACAGTGGGTAACAAACTTTCGCTTAAGTTTAACAACGAACCTCACCTTACGGAGCCTGCTGCTAAGCTATGATAACACAGTATGGTCCGGACTTCTAAGAAACCTGAGTCTGCAAATTCCTTGCGTTGAACGCCATATAACAGTTCAGCGATAACAGTTCAGCATTCGTAGTGAAACTAACGTTACCTGTAAAGTTATAATAGCGTGTCCATATTCAGGCCGAGCGGAATTTACCAGACAGCCCCGCCCACCCTCACTAAATACGTAGAAAAGCAAAATAAGTACATAGAAATGCAAATATCTGACGCGTTCTGTTTACGTCTGAGGGTCTTCACCTTTGGCACACTCTGTAAACTTCCTTATAAGGAAGTACCGGATACACACAACTACCGGATATGACGTATGGAAAGTTGGGTTTTGCTCGAAATCTAATAATTTTTCTAGTGTGCACCGCCACGGATTTCTTCTCCACAGAAATGAAATTTGTTCCTCATTTCGTTTGGTCACAATTGTTTGCAAAGTTGCTCGTGCTCATGCCCGTGTTTGACCTTTGACCGCACCTCTCGGGAAAACTTCGTACCAAAAACTTCAAGCAAGACGGTGCTGTCTACTCCACTGCAGCCTGTGATAGGTCGATTTAGGTTTGTCATTGTTCTCTGTGGATATGCTAGCTCACACCAAGGAAGGGAATACCAAGTATCTGTAGACTCGCCATACTCTAGGACTAGGAGTGGCTGCTGTCAACACAGTTGCTAAACTTGCTTTGGTATATTTTCAGTTCTTGTAAAAGTGCCAAGGTACAGACTATAACAAGTTATAATAAAAGGTCCAGGTGACCATCTTTGAGTTTTCAGGGACCATCAAGTTCACAGATCTTTTTTGTTTGTTTTGGTGAATCACTGAATGCAGTTGGAACGTATTGCACGAGCCGTTCCTTGACCTGTCCCCCACCCCAAGGTTTACGCAAATATGAAGAGAGGAGCCAGAGACAAGAGGTAGTACTGTGTATTCCAGAGAAGAAGTGCTAGAGTGAACTAGATCTAACCAGTTTCCAAGAAGTGGACTAGCCTACTCACCACTGGGGGTAGCAGGTTATACCATTCCCATAGGGGGAACTACATGGATCAGAATATTGGATCCTTATACAGTATTGAATGATGTGGCTTATGAAACTCAATGTACTTTTTGTTGTGTCAATCAAGTATTGTATTACACCACTTCCTGAATTCCTCCACATACTGCCCACTTTAAAGTGTTGGCCATAGGACATAAAATCAAAGTGACATTCCTATTTTATTAACTCTTCACAAAATGGACACTTTGGTCATCATAACGGTAGCCAAATCCTCCTCACTTTACTCTAAAAAGAAAGACAACTCCATCGTAGCCTTCGCAGTAGTCCTGGGTAACCGTGCGTGAGATGGGCTCCCACAATCCCCTGCGCTGAAGGTCAGCCATGAGCGGCTCAAGCTTGTGATACTCCTCTACTGTCTCGAGGAAGAACTTCCGGATCCCAACACACACAAAACCACCTGAACAGAGGCATAATCAGTAATAATGCATGAGTTTAATAAGGTATCACCTTGGACCATGGATTGATTCAATACATGGAACGCTGTGGAATTCATTAGAGATGCAGTTGTGAAAAAGGCTTCTATATATAGACTCAAAGTCTAACAGTGATCATCCAGGATTTATTCATCAGTAACAATATCCTATCATGTTACAGTTACTGTATTACAAAGTCCACGGATGTGCAATTTACCACAAAAATGATGCAGACTTTGTCATGAATTAAGTCATGAATTCCATTACCATGGATTCATCAATCACCATGATCTTTGAGTTCCATCCTTGTTTAGGTTGTGACTACCTAGAAAGGCAAGGCAATGTCACACTTAGCATGACACAAACTGTTATAAATGGTGGCCTTTAGTTTGCCTTACCTGGTTTGACAACTCTGACAAGTTCTTCCAGACAGTCACACTTCACATGACCCTCACAGAATGCCCCACAGCAGGAGGTGGCATCATATGTATCTGTAATTTCACAAACACAGCTAGCCTTTGAATGCAGATACATACAAGATGTCACACCACCCACAACCAAAAATAATACTTTACTAAATCTGGGTGAAGAAATAGTAATTTTCTGCTTAAATCCATGTAGTAGCTAACAGAAAAATAACAGAAACAATAAACAGTAGTGGCTTACCATCCTCTATATTTAACCTGTTTGCTCCCAAGAAGTCCAAGATGAAGTTATTGTACACCTGTTTGGTCCTGGCGATGTCCAACATCTCTTGGCTGGCATCTAGGGCATCCAGATTACTGAAGCCCTGCTTCAGGAGCTGACCAAGTAATACAAAAAACAAGGTGGTCAGAGACAGCAGATATCAAGCTTCCTCATCAAGCAGAACATACACAACACACAGACAAGCTAAAAACAATGGTAGGAGTGCAACTAATTCATAATTAGTACAAGTTCATGCAAACACCATTGCTATTTCTTTTAACAATGAGATACAGGTTATGAGTGTTGTTTACATTGAATGAATAAGAATGAACTTTTGAATGAAACAAACAAGTTCAATGTAAGACCTCCTCTCCAACAAACCCCGTTCCTGCTGCTACATCGAGAACACGAGCGTTGCTTCTACTCCCCAGAGCCTTCACTAATGTCTCGGCTACCTGGCGGGGTCCATTGTAATGTGATGTCTTCATGTCCTGCACATACAATGAAAGGTAAGGTCAGCAATGATTATGAAAATAATGCAGATCCATTATCATAAATTAGCAACTCCATGAGATCAGGAATAAGAGGGGTTCCTAAATGTGGAATGACATTTCTAGTGTACTCTGTGTTCCAACATACATGTAACTTACCTAAATATTGTTATAGATTGAGTTGTAAGAACAAAGGGGGGTTGGACTACTATATGGTATAAGGGTGCAGACATTCCACATCATACAGGCCTTGTGACATACCTGTTCGTACAGGGGTGCCCATGTACGGTACAGCTCCTGAGACTGTTCCCTCGGGATACCAGGGGTTAAAACATGCCACAATCTGTGGTGAACGTCGTTGGGCGTGTCTGTCATGCTACAGTAGCTTCAACTGTATGAACGTGTAAATGATGTCACATTATAACGGTCACGGACCACGGTCAATTTTTCCACAGGGTAACGTTACCCTAAGACAGTGCTTAAAAAAGAATCAGCATTTATAACCGTTATAAACTTTGCTTCAAAAGTGGTGAATTTAAATAGATCTAAGACAGCAATGCGGCACCCACTAGTAAGACCGAAATGTACATTGTATAAAAGGCCTCAACAGGCCTAGTAAAAACATTACCCGGACTAGACCTGCTTTGATGTGAGATTACGTTACATAAAGTCGGTGACGTACCACCAAATTCTCAGCTGCGAAAGTGGGGGAAGCTGTCAAGACCGACACGTTCTCTTGTCAACGTCTTCCACAAACGGTACAGAAGTACAAATTAAACCGACCTCGATCGGGTCAGATGCAGGCCCCTTCAGCTAAAGTGCTCGTTAAAAAATATAGGACATATAGGGTTAACGTTTTATACCTCCCGTGTTTGTGTGGAACGGTCGTTCTGTAAAACAGTAAGTTAACCACCAAAAGCGTTGAGAGATATTGAGAGAAAAAAAGTTTTGAGACAAGTGAAGGTGAAAGTCCTTCCGGACAAAAAAAAAGCCGACCCAAACAAGGTTCAAAATTAAAAGGAGATTTGTTAACGAACAGTGTTAATTAGTATCACTGCCGATCTGGCATATCCAATAGCTTGCTCCCCGTTCCATTGTGACTAACGTTACTTTATGATGCGTCAGAATCGTGCGAACGTCTACAGAAATTACTGGTTGAACCCAGCCTGGCTGAACCTACCTCTTCCTGGCCCCAAATTTAGATGGGGCGGTTCAAGTCACTAGGGGTCATACCATAGCTTCATTGCGTTGTCACTGAGCCTCCCAGCGGGTTTGGCATGTACTGCACGCAGCGCTATCAAACTTTGTAACCTGTAAAGGCAGGCACTGCTGATAGCAGATGTATGGGGCAGTACAGGGGTAATAGTTGTGACAGAAACTGTAGACTCAAAATCCGTAAAAAGCGTCACGATCTTCTATATCCCAACATCTGCATGGATGGAGTCAACGTTAAATTGATGCTGTCTGTCTGATGCTGCCCTTGGTGCTAGCTCACCATCGGTCACGTGACCAAAACAGGCGGCCATCTTGAATTCCCCGACCGGTTTCGTGCAGCGTTTGGGTGGTACAAATTGACTGAATTATCAAGAAACTTTCAACCGTTTTGACCGTCTTCTGTATTGTCGGTGAGCAAGTTCTTTTGCTACGTCTGTTTGCTTCGTTTAAAAGGTGATTTTAGTCGAGCCCTACGAGAATAAATATATAAATAGGCAAAATCTTTGCGAAAATAAATATGTGTGTGCCCCCCTCCCCCCACTTTTGAAACAAGATGCAAGACTACTTTTGTGAATGTTCTGTATATGTGTATTCTGATTTTAAGTGTGCTATGTATTTTTGTTGTTGTTTTGTGTAACAACAACCCTAGGAAGAATTAGCCAGCGACATTAGAGAGCCGTTTGAAACTTCGGAGGATGGCACCCACTGACCCAGTAGGTCAAGGAAGAATAGCCACAATCATGAAAATTATTAAAGCCATTTTTGGATCTCAGGTAACCCAGATTACCCACCATGCCTGGTGAGAAACATAGTGGAGCGTACAAGGAGGTACTGCCGAAACAGGGCCAGCTGCACACCGAAGACAACCCCACCATGGTGCTCTGTAAACCCAAGATCCTGCCCATGAAGTCAGTGACTCTGGAGAAGTTAGACAAGATGCAGAGAGAGGCTCAGGAGAAGCTGAAGGCTCAGGAAGCTGAACAGGAGGTTGGAATTGACTTCTGTTGAAAAATTATTTAGTAATTCTCTTCAGGGGCATACCCCAGTTTATCTTGGGTTTCAATTCAATGCTATTATACCCTCAACTCAAGTCTAACGTCTGTTTTGTCAGGGAAATAATTCTGAAGCAAAATCCAAGACATGATTTCAAAAAGCTAGAAACTCTACCAACAATTTAAAGTTAATTCTAATCCCATACTACACAGTCTTGCATGTGTTAGGTAGGTAAGTCTCATAGTCATACGCACAGTTTGTTGTTGTTGTTGTCCTTGTACAATGTCTAGTATCTCGCTAGACGTGGTCTCTTGGTCAAGTTGGTGCTGGTTTGCACTTGGTTCAGTTCAGAGTTAACTTGTCTCGCTAGGTATTTAACTCTTAACGTTAGTGCCTTGATTGTTGTTAAGATATTCATGTACATGTATAACGTTACATCCTAGTCTGTTTAGATTGCCCAGGACCATGCAGGGCTGCCATGTATTGCGCAGGGCGCTGTGTAGATGAAGAGCTGACTTTAACACAGGCCACTCGCAATGCTGAGAAGACCTACAAGTACAAGTAATCAAATGAAGTGCAAGTACAAGTGTTACAGGCTTCCTGGATATGTATATAGCAGAACAGAAGATACCATACATTGTACCTTGTACAATTGTTGTGCCATAATGTTTTCAAGTTCTAAAGCAGCCTTTTCTGCCCAGGCTCAGATGCTACAGTCAGGAGGCAGCAACAATTTCCAGCCAGGCACCATGTCTGACTTTAACTCACAGGGTGCTTCAGGGGAGATGGACAGATACAACACAGGACAACAGGACAGCGAGTATCACTGAACACACAGGGTAGAGTCGATTGGGAGTGATGAGGGAAACCTCTCGCTGTAGGCAGTGCTAACATCATCTTTTCTTCAAGACTTTTGTTAAGAACTGTCACTCTAGCTACTCAGGACAGACAATTTCCACTGTTCCATCCGTCCTGAAAATCAAAACTTTGTGACATTGTACATCGAGTGTAGTCCACGCTCAACACTCAACAGTGCCACAACTCTTTCATGGTTGTACTACCGATATGTTAGCAATGGCTGTGCAGAAGGGACACCTGTCTGTTACTGAGGGCATTGCATCTCCTGCAAAAATGGTTACACTATCAAGTGTACTAGGTGTCATTCAAACATTTGTAAATACATGTATGACTTTTACTGACTTTTACTGGTGCTTATATCCTGTACTGTGCCCTGTAATATTAATGAATAGTTTCAAAGGTGAGAAAAATATGATGTGATTTACTATGGACCAAGTTTTACTTAAATGTTTTTCCTGAGAAATGCATTTGATAGATCATGGGTTGATATTGTAAAGTGACAAGTGACAGAATATTCATGATTCATTATGAGTGGATGTTGTTGTATTTTGTTGACCCCATGATTGTGTATGTCATGTGATGCACATTATATCATATGATGCACATTATATAGAAAAAAATTGGTATATATATATATTGGAAGTTGTAAATATGGAAGAAACAGCAATTTGTAAACCAAAACTGACAAATAACAAAGGTTTCAGTTTATATAGTATCAGAAATCTTATTCTCCATTAAGTTATTTGCCTACAAATTTTTGAAATATTTTTTTCCAGACCAATACATGGTACTTTATTTATGGTACAGTCAAAGCTGTAGTACAATTAATGAAGTACTTGTAATTTGGTGGCCCCTTAGATGATTTTCCCCATTGACACAAGCATTATGAATCCTGTCTATAGTGACCACCTGTCCACATAGACCAGATTTTATTGGCCCCTTGAGTGGTCTTCTTTGGGCAGTTTTGACTTTACTCCTGAAAAACAACTGGAATTATCCTTGTCAAAATGTAGTCAAGTGTGGCAATAATACATAATGGTTTCCAGCGCACATATTGTGTGTTTTCGTGCTGAGTTTGAATTATTGTTCCTTTTAGTACATTCCTCAGGGCTCTGTGGGATGGCTTAGGATTTAAAGAATTAAGGCTGTGGCTTAAGGGGACTTTGCAGTTAAAACAAACCACCCAACCCACCACGGCTTCTTGCAGTCTCAAGCAACTAAAATGAGATCTGCTCACTCTATGGCGTCTCACTGTTCATTTGTTCCTACTGTAGCAATCCCCGGTAAGTTGGTCGCAGACGTCTGTTTGAGTTAGATACCCCGGCCATATCCCATGGCAAACAGGCCCTTTGTAATTGCAATCCAAGCAATAACAAACCCGGCCAGCAGAAAGCGGCAGGCATTATTAATACAGGACGTCAGGGAGCATGGTAATGTATTTCAGGTGTTAGCGCAAATGAATTCATAAAGCAAGCATTAGGATTCATTATCGGTGTGCCTGTAACGTGGCGACTCGACGGTAATAAAAATGAATCACAAGCGCAGCACATTTTCATGCTCTCCTGCATAGGCATTGCACACTTCGTGGCTTGAACATATTCAATTAATCTCCATCCCTTCCCATAGAAAGATGGCAAATCTGCCGGCTCAAGTCAGACAAGTTGCCAGACCGATGAAATAATTCTATGCATTTTTAATTATAAGAGGCTAGAGCTAAATACTGGGGAGGTGTACATCATAATCCTGGGTATCAGCACTAATCTCCTGGGAGGCTTCGCGGCCATGGAATAATTTTCCCCTGTGCTGTTCATGCGAAGGGAAGTAATTTGCTCTGCACATAATCATTCAATGATTTGATGCTTAATAAGGACGTAAAAATGCCGTTAGAGGCAGACATAATACATATCATTATGGCAAACTGTCGCATCCTCTCTGTACGCCGACGTCTGATTGACAGCGCAGAAGGGTTTATTTCGCAGTCAGAATGATCAAGTGGCGAAAGTGAAGCCGCTCCGTTTACCAGTGGAGCATTCTCTGTAACAGGGCCATGCTAGGTTTGCATGTGTTTCGTAGGCGGGCCGAGGATCAGAACCCAGTTGGAGGGGAAACTATATATGCCTCTCACACAGGGCTTAAAATACCTCCTGCATACGTGCATGTTAGTGCTTTTAAAATATAAAGCTGTGTAGGTTTTTCTGCTGTCAACCTGCACTGGTCCATGTGCTGGTTTATGTAGATTTTTATTTGTATATTGATAGGTACCAGCAATGACAATGTAGTAATGACAATGGTTTTTGAACAATTATTAGTATGATCCATACATGTCTTCAGTGTTGCAGGTAAAATTTGTCTGGTACAGGTAATTTTGTACGTTACCTGCACAAGTGTAGACAGGCAGAAAAAAGTATTTTGAGCCCTGCGAGTCTCACAGCCTCCTAATAGGCGTTCTTTCCCGGAGATGCATGGAAGACCAGAGGGGACGTGGGAACAAACGAGTAGCTGCCGGGTGAGGGTTGGCGTGTCTATGTGCAAATTGATACACTTATATCCACCGTGGTTTATGGAAGACGTGGTTAAATAAAACAGAAATCCGCAGAAGCAATTTTCTCCTTCCCCCGAGGAGACGACATTGTTTGAAGCCAAAATGAGGAAGCCGGATTCTCCCCGTCACCGTGGTTACACCTGGAAGCCCGACGAGTGCAGAACAAAAGTGACAGCGTGCCTGAATAAGCGATATGATGGATGACAATAAGGCTCGATAATTACACCCCAGTCTCTTGGAGATTTAATTAAAGCACTCCTGCGATTGACAGCCTCCCTTTCAGGGGATGTATTAAGCTAATTAAATGAAGCCCCCTAACAAGCAGAACACCAAATGTTACATTTGTCTACATTTGATTGGTTAAGGCTGCGTGAAATCTGTGTTTTCAGTGACTAATGCGGATAAACTGCCAGAAATGTGGCATAATTGGTCTGCATTGATTTGAGTAATCAATTACCTCGTGCAGCAATTAGGCCTGATAACACCAGGCTCCACCAGGCAGCAGCGGGGAAGTGTTCGGCTTTATAGTTGCTGTAGCAACTTTTTATACTGGGAAGCTTCATCATAAAATATTGTCTAACGCAACAATTCCCACTGTAGATGGTCAAATGTTATTTTTTCCTTAGTCCATCCTCTAGCAACTGACAATATTTGTAGTTTTTACAAACTGAACTTTTACTACACAATGTCTATGAAACCTGCCTGAGTTTCAGTCCTATGCATAGATGTGCACACTTTCACATATTTCTTACCTGGAAAGCGATAGTGTGGAATTGAAATTTTTTTTTTGGGGGGGGGGCTTGTCACGGTGTGTGTTATTTATAAGATGTACTTTTAGGCCACACCAATTTACTTTATTGGTTTGCAGACATTTTTAAGTAAAATTCAGCATAAAACCAGGCAGGAAGGAAGACTTACTTATTCACTCGCTGAAACTGTGTGTACTGGTGAATTTTTACTTTTCCCTCAGACTTGGTTTGATGTTGATTTTTCACTTCAGCATTATTACTTCAGCACTCAAGCATAAAATGGTTCATGTGCACCACAAAGGCTCATATTTGGCACCAACAGTTAAAGAATGTCCATGTCCTCCTAGTTATTATCAAAATTGTTGTACCAAAATATGAGTATTTGGGAGTAGAAAGGGCAGGGAATTCAACAACCAAGAAGTTACATTGGAGTGGCCTTATCTACCTAGGCTAATTTACAAGCATGGAAAAAAAAAGCAACATTACCACTGCCATCTAGTGTTCTCTTTCCGAACTGCATTGGACTAGCCTTCATGGAGACCTTCAGCCTAAGGCCAGGGGCCAAGGAAAAACTCATGCTGTACATAAAGGTATCTTGTACCATCCCTTCAGGCCATTTCAATGATATTTCTGGTTTAACATTTCAAATCTATAGGCCAAACTCAGATCTCTGCTGATATTTGTATCAATTATTTATGATAGGAATAATCTTGCTTACAAGCAGATAAAGGTATACCATCCATAATAACAAGATACCAGCAGTATTGAAACCTGTATATTATTCCAGGGAAAATAACTGTGTATATTGTGTTGAGCCACTATGATTCTCTGGTACCAGGCTAGACAGGGATGTCAAATATGTTGGAAGGGTTTCAGTACAGATTTCCTGGACTACCTTTTTTTTCTAATTTCAAAAATCATACAGTGGCTGATGACGAAATTTCTAATGAATTTATAAAAAAAACGGAATGTTGACAAGACTTAATCAGTCTCAGGATTGTCTTCAATCTATATGGTATTTCTAATGCCAGGCTAGGCAAGGATGTAAGATTATTGGAACAGTTTCCGTTCTTATTTCTTGGACCTGCCGCCCTTTCCCAATTTATACCAAACCAACTGTGGCTGGGAAAGATATTTCTTATGATACATTGAAAACAATGCAAATGTGAGAACTTTCTCAATATACAATGAAGACTAAACGTTAACTTATGTATCTTTTGCCTGTTACTTTCCGAGTTATTTATGTGAAGAACAGCACTGGCACCCAGTGATTTTTACAGACAGCAGCTTGTTTGTACATTGCAGCTGACAAGATATAAACTTGTTATTTTAGACCCCACCCTAGCTGTGACATGGCTAGCTACTGTCTTTCCCCAGGCAGCCGGTCCTGTTGGCATCTGGACACACCAACCACCCAGTCTCCAACGACTGCAAACCAATATTTCCTCCCAGACATCAGATGGAATTATGCAACGGCTTTTGCCTTTTTTGTCTAAAGCAGCAGCTAGACAAGAAAGTCGGCGGGATAAGTCCACTTAATACCCTTAGCAGGAGCCACTGGCGGCATTATGCATTCACCAATGGCAGTATATAGGTGGTCAGTCATGCCGAAAAATTGAAAACCGAGTTTCATTGTAATGAATCCTTTATAGTTGGTGCCATCATACATCATCCCAATACACATGGCAGCGCACATTTGTCATTTAATATAGCCAGCAAAGTTTGTGATTGAAATTTTATTGTGCCCTAACAACTGTAATATGGAATTATGGAGGTGATATGCGATACTTCATTTTCGGGGAAAGGCAGGCATTTCTCACCCCGGAATAATTAATTTCGATGAATGCTGCTTTGTGAAAGTTTTATAGGGTGGGAATAATGTGTAATTTATTTTTCCTGTGGGTGAGGTGCCAATGTCGGCAAAGATTGCTTGTGTGTCCCCTTCATTTATTCTCCGGGATCCAATGTTGCCGTTTTATTTGGACCAGTCATATTGTGTTCAGGAAGGCCAATTTTTCACCAGGGGTCTGCTGCCTCATAAGTGACAATAATTTCTTTATTTCTGTCGGTCCTGTCACCTCAGATTGGTGTCGTTTCCGATTTGGTCTGTTCTCCATTTTGATGAAAATGATTTGTGTCAATCAGGCTTCTCTGATTTAGTTATAGGGTTGTCATTTTTTTTGTAGAAGATTGTGGGTCAGAAAAATGACCATGTACTAGAAAAACATTTCAATGATTTAATCTGTATTTATTGAGGAATTAATTGATTATGAATTGTTAAAGTGTCACAGTTGCTGGTTTTTTATTCAATTTTGAGGCCACAACAATTTATTTCCTTGGTTCTCTGACATTAATTTTGACTGAAAATGTAGCAAGTGAACATCATTAAAGCAGAGGGCAAGTGTACTCCCAACATTCCAATGATGTGAGGATACAAAAGCCTCTTATTGCTTTACTTTCTTGTTTTCTACCTGTTTTGTGAAATAATGAAAGTTGAAAGTGAAAGACACCATAGTAAAGAGTTTTAATCAAGTCTTCTTTTAATCAACCCATTTACAAATCAAAACTTTAATCAATAGCTTACCATTTCATGTCTAAAACTATAAAGAGGATGTTGTGATATAGATTTGTTTCTTTTCAAATTTCTTCATACAGTATGGCATGCTGACTGTGAAAAGTGACTGGAAATTAAAGAAACTAAACAATGTAATCTTCGTTCAAACTTTAAGATTGATATGCTTAATGTTAAGAGCTTTTTTATCACTCAACAAGAAGACTTACTGACAGGTACATAATAGTATACATCTCTGACCATATATTCTTCAGTAGATATTAAAGAAACTCTGTTGTATGCAGAAAAGCACATGTATATGTTAAGGTACAGAGATTGCAATCTGGCAGAATTGCTGATTCCACTGGTGAAGAGATCCCAATCAGAGTCTCTGTCGACAGAGATCATGATCTGCCAGTCAGTACCGGTAAAGATCCCTATCAGAGTCTGTAAATTTTTCTGTGCAGGTGGATATTCGGTTAAAACACAGTAAGAATTTCTGAACTTCAATCCATGTCATCTTAGATCGGTGGATTGACTTGAAACTCAGGATTTATAAGTAGGAGACCACACTAACTCATTCCAAGCATCCTGATCCCGATCTCTGCCGACTCTGATTGTGATCTCTGCAGGTAGAATCCCTGATTGTGCCTGATAGGTATCTCTAGGCCACACCAATTTAATTTGTTGGTTCTCGGATTTTTTCAGAAAAAATATGAAGCGACAGGGCGAAAAATAAAAAATTAAAACAGGTCTAGGCATCCATTATAGGCTTAAATGCTACGGAATGAGCCATGAAGTGAACACAAAAGGCTGGGTTAAAATTTAAACATTGAATTTTGAACTTTTAATCAAACCACTGCAATGATAGATGGGAAAACTGTAACAACTAGGAAGAAAAGGACTTTCCTCAACTGTTGGGGGGCAAGACATTGAGCATTTTTTCAGTTGATTCAGGACCAGAATCAATTTTTTTTTTTGCAAATCAGAAAAAAACGAAGAGGCGAATCCGAGAACCAACAAATTAAATTGGTGTGGCCCTATCATGACATATAATAGAGTAGATACAGGTAGTTTGACAAAAAGTTGTGTGAATATGAACAAGAGAAAAGGGGTTGGATAGATTATGAAAACAGAATATATTCATTATCAATATCCTAGATTTTGAAATCTTACCATGTCAGTTTGCTTAGATAAGCAAATGAAAAAAAGTTATATCATGACATGTTCAATTGATTACAGTGTAATTAACTCTAACATTAATCTATAGAAAATGTGATGATGCTATTCATCACAATTTTTATTTCAAGAATTTTCCTAAGTTTCTTTTGAAAAAAAAAAAGAATGGTTTACAAATTGTTAGTAACTTTACTTTTGTTTGCCATCAATTTTCCTCTCTTCTTTAGGCTACAACAATTCCATTTCTTGGTTCACAGATTTTGGAAGAAGTTGATGGAGCATGCAGGCAAGCAACATAAAATTAGAATTAGACACAGATATCCTGTGAAAGGTCGACATGCTACCACACAAGCCACAAAGTCAACATACTAAGCTGGTTAACATTTAAAGCTATGAATCTTTAACTTTTCAAACATTGATAGATGGCAAAACTGTAACAACCAGGAAGACAAAAGCCTTCCTTCAGCTGATGGTGCCAAAATTAGTATTTAGGGTTTAATTCATAGTTTTAGTTTAGTTTTTCAATGTGATATTTAGTTTCTTTTTCATATCAGACATTAACGTTATGTAAAAAAAAGTGGGGAAATTCAAGAACCAAAAATTTAATTGCCTAAAGAAACATGATGATTTTCATCACAATTTTCTCTTCTTTTCACAATTTTAGACAGGTCTTTTCCCGATGTCCCTTTTATAACATGTCCCTGTTTCAACCAAAGCGGTTTAAAAAGTGAAAGTGAGAATATTGCTAAGATGGTTTGCCCCCTGCACGGATGCCTTCAGCCGGGTGACCAAAGGTCCAGTGCATTGTGGGACGTCCTTGATCCAACATGGCGGATTGTTTTGAAAGTGCTGGCGGTAGCTGATCAGTCCGTGCCTCGGGCGGTCCACTTCTGCGCTCAACTTCTGCTCTCTCTAGCAAGTAAGTCAACCATACAACTATCAAACCATATGTAGTTGTTGTGTGCGTATGGGGAGAACATATTCTGAGGGAATGTGAAGGGAGTGCCGGTCAGCAGACGATGTGATTTTCCTCATGCCCATCTTTTTTGAAAGGCCTGGGCAGAGGCGAGTCATCTTCGCGCCGAGGCGCCCCGGCCAAAATCTAGCTTCCCGCGCAATTTCTCATCCTACCGTCAAAATCTGCAACTTTCTGGGAAGTTTTGGGTCTCGGTGTTGTAGGTTTCTGGGGACGTTTGGTGTAGGTTTGTGTGAGATTTCGTTGCTTGCATCGGCGCGGTTTCGCGGTGTGGCGGTGGGGGGTTGGGCCGGGCGTGCAGTGGACCCAGCCGGCCAGCAAGGGATGGGAGCTTCGGCCCAGCGCCTCTCTCCATATGCAGGCGGCGCCTCAACTCCCACTGTCCGCCCAAGATGCAGCAGTGCTAGAATAGCATCTCCTTCTACTTTTAACGTTGACATGTTAGCAGCGATGCCTGGAGGGTTTCTTCATACCGAATCAGGACAAGGACCTTCTTACGGCTTCAGGTCACTCTCTAGCTTACCTCACTCCACACCTTCATCTAACGTTACAGCTCGGTTATCGTAAGAAAACATGAACCAAGCAATTTATCTTCGTCAAAGTAGCTAACCTTACACACTTGCCTTTTTCTTTTCTTTAAGACGCAAAGATATTTAGGAATTTTGCAAGTTTTGGAGAGGTTTGGTAGTCAGTCCGTTTTTTCTTCTTTCGTTCAAATCATGACCCCTCCCCCCTTCGGGACCCCCTGCTTTCCCCCCACCTCTGTCACCGTCTGTATACCTGACACTCTCTATACACACTAGCCTGCTTGTACAGTGCTAGACTTCCAGCTGGCTTGGTGGAATTAATAACGAAAACTTGTGCCAAGAGAGCCCCACCACGAAACACTGCTGGTGTTGGGATGGATACAGTGTGTCACTTAAAAGGTGGATAAACCTTACAATGTATAAATCTAGATGCAAGCAAACAGGAGAGAAAGAAATTAGAAAGAAAAGTGTTAGCTGGCTCCTTGCTGAAAGTGAAAGTTTATATTATGGATGTCACAGTATGAGAGGAAGCGTAACTATCTGAAGAAGGAGAATAACAATTTACACCTAGCAAAATTCCTTCACCTCAAAGGAGAGACTGGTCAGTTGAAAGAATTACATCTATTGCTATTGGTACAAAGATGGATGTTGCTGGTGTGAAGTGTTTTTAGGTGTGAAATACACAGACGTTAGGTAAGCTGAGAATCTCTTTTCTTTGCCACATGGTGAGTATAACTGTACTAATTTTCATTTGAATAGCTATTGTTGTGAATGAAAGTGTGGCTCAGGTTTTATCCAAAGTTTCCTAAACCGTGCGATTTTGCCTGCCCACAACAAAAGGTTCGGAGTGTAGTAGTTGGCGACTGTATACCCAATTTGTCCCTGTTCTGGCCAAGGCGAAGGTATGTGAGAGTAAATTGGGACCAGCGACATTGTAAAAGAAGATTTCCCCCCACATCTGGCACGCGTATTTACTGGACTTGAGATGCCATGAAAAATTCCTGGCCACAGTCAGCACCCCTGCGCTTCAGACACTAATGGCATCTCTCCTATTACCTGGTCCCTAATCTCCATACATGTGGTAGATATCAGAGGAAATAGGATTCTCTTCTCTATGCATCTCCTTGATTTATGCACCCTGGCCCAAGCCCTGTGTATGTGTTTTTGTCAGGGAGTAGAAAGTCCTTTCATTCAGCTATTCAGAACCCAGTGGGCAGTATTTACTGATTTATTTGTATGGAGATTACAGATAGCAGAAGTACAGGCTGCGTAGTTAGTGTAGTGTCCCAGTATATAATTCCCTAACACCTGCCCGTAATACCTCTATATTGCTCGCATGCAAAAACGAATGAATTACAAGGTATTTTTGCCAGCTTAATGTACGCAGTGGGGATTATTTTTGCGTCGGTAATGCCCTGTATTATTAAGTATGGTAAATTTCCGGCCGCGTATTTCGGACTTGATTATTAGGCATGGAGGTTTGCCACGTATGAATGAATGACATTCGCTTTTGTGGGCAAAGTTGGAATCTTGTGCTTTGGAAACAGCAGACTTTCTGAAGACTTACAACACTGTAACAGTTGTCGTAAATTTCAAAGTTGTCGAGTTTTATGGCTGCATTTTCTTTATGGGCAGTGCATTTTATTCCTCAGTGATTTCTATTTTTACTACCTTTTGGCGTCCCAGCCTGTTCGGCCTACGTAGTGGTCAGAGAGAGCGGCTGCAAAATGGATCGTCCAATCTCTACGAAATAAAAATTTCCCACCTATAGAGCTCATTTGCATTCATTTTTATTCCAAGGTATGATTTTCCATTCTGACTTTGGAGATGCCGCGGCAATATTTATAGTTGGATGTAGGACAGCATTAGGCCGGACTATACATAAATCCGTCCGAACGGCCTGGCTGACTAAGCTAAGGGTGCCCACTAGAGTAGCCGACTTATTGGCAGAATGCTTATCAATAAATTAAGATACATATTTCACGGTACATGTATGTGTATGTATGATCCCGGCTGCAACGAGGTGGACATGTATCCCTATTTGGGTGCAGTGGTCATCTATCGTGCCTCAGTCTTCCCTCTAATCCCCCATGTCCCACGGCACTCCATCATGCTTTCATATTCCGAAACATGCCCCGGCGACAAAAATATGATCTATATATTTTACGGCATACATTTTTATGAGGACTGGCCCTTGAATTAGGGTGGTTGTGTTTGGGACTTGCTTTCAATTCGGACCAATTTATGCAATCAGGCGCTGTTCCTGCACTTGTGCAGTCTACAGTCCAAATGATTTTACATGTAGATAGCGCCGATGTTGCCTGGATCTCTCCAAGTAGGCACTTTTATTAGATTCCATCTGCTGTTGTCTTTATCTTAGGCTATAATACATAAAGGGGGCAAAAGCAGTAGGGTTTGACATATGTACAAGATAGAGCTATCTCTTTGAAACTTAAGTTATTGCAGGAGTGGCCAGAACATCCCTGTTTGTCCTTTTTTGTGGTTTATTTTTAATTATTTACACATCGAACAGATGGTCCAAAACACAAGGAGCGCGGTGTTAGTGCCATTTACTTAATCGTCTCCAGAAATTTATAAAATTACGGAAGAAAGCCTTTCTAGGGTATGAATTAATGATGAGGTAGTAAAGCTGGATGTGTTATAATTAAAGTGCAAAGTTATTAATACGGTTCTGTAAGGGAATTTCTTCCCTCCCTAGGGGCTGAATTAAGATGGGGATACAGGGTTGGTGTTTCCAAGCTGACAAATTCATTGCAGAAAATTTTGTTGCATTGATGGACATAACCCTGCATGGGCAAACCGAATTCAGTGGAAAATTAATGTGATGGCCAGATAGGACCTGATTAAGGAACTCCACCTGAATACAAAATGCCGCATCACTTGCAAGTGCTAAAGCTTAAATAGTCTAACTACTTTATGATTGTGTGTGTTTACCATTAGTTTTAGAACTGCCCCAGGCCACTACTCAATATCGGTTTACTGATGTGAAATGAGTTTTGAATACACTCTGGCTGTCCTACGTTTTATTGTAACCAGAACAACGTAGAAAGACACAGATTGCCAGAGGGACTGTAGTCAGTGCTGCTTTTGGTTCAAACTATCAAAGTTCACAGCTTTGAAAGATGTTATTTTCATTCTTATATCTAATAATGCAAGCTTGTATTATGGTTTGGATTCGGTATTTGTATTCATGTGGCCTCTTTGGCTTATTATATTTTTGTTTCAAGCGGAAAGAATTGTACATTTTCTTACCATTTCTATCATTGCAGTTTTGAACTACAGTACTATTTTCACATCTCAGGCAAGCTTGCTTCATGATTTTGATTTATTTGTATTCTTGTGATCTCTGTAGCTCATCCTTATTGCAATTAGAAAGCATTGTACCTTTTGCTTATGATTTGTATCCTCCCATTTTACTGGCCAAACCGTGTCTGATGGAGTCGGACAGTGGCAAAATTGTTTGCTAATGAACTTCACAGACTGGTGGTCAATCCCCCTCCCTCGGCACAGCCCAAGCCTTCTGTTGTTAATTCAAACCAGTCATATTTTCTCTGTGTAATCAGCTCTAATTTATATTTTGTGTCCAGTCCCATAAGACATCTAGGTTTCAAACAGGCCGCTGCAACTGGCCTTCCTCGGGTTTCTCCAGCAAAGTTAGCTCCAAGTTCGCGGTGGGCTCCGGTTGCCAAATCTGAATACCAGCCGCTGATTCATCATGGCACACACAAGTTTTCCCCCCAAGGTATACAGCTTCGACCGGCATCTAATCTCTAGTTAAGAATTATAGAGCATGCATATCACTCTTTTGTAGCCCACCACTACCTTGTAGGTAACATAGCCGTGCAATCAATTGTGCCTGGAGGCCCCCTCCCTTCACTCCTCCTGGACATCTGATATTTCCTCCGCTTGTTTTTCACTGTCATCTTTTGTCTTTACCTCTCCTCACCAGAAAGGCACCACTGTGTCCGTCCCAGAGTGTGGTCATCTATTTTCTGTCCACATCCCAGGACTGTAACTGCAGTCTGCTTTTACAAGTGGACTCCTATCCGATTTGATAGAGGCATCAAATTATAAATATTTCATTGTGATGGAGTACGCTGGGCCCTTATCGTTTTATCTGCATGTGTATTTATGTAATTTCGGCCCTCTGGTTCCCTTCCTTTGCGTTATCTCACATCTTGGCCCGCTGCAGGCACAATATGCAGATTCAAGTCATTTATTTTGCAGTGCTTGACTTTCTTATAGAGTCAATCCAGTATAAACCGTGGGAGAAGATGAGGGAGGAGATAGCTCGGGGAGATTTTCTTGGGTTGTCGTTTCAAGATCCCACCTGATCCAACATATACAATGATAAGTGGGACCTGTTATATCACAGGTATGAAAACATAAACAATA